AAACTATATAATATTCAAACTAAATGTAAAAGTTAATTTAGTTGTTTGGATAAAAAGTTTCCTTCAAACGGACATAAAAAGGAATATTTAGGAAATGTTAAACTTTATCCTCACAGTCAAATAAAAATGTTAGAGAAAAGAAATCTTCACATGATTACATCATCATACAAAGACTAAAAGAGCATTTTACCAACAGTTTACTGTGTTTGAAAACAAAGTCTGAACCATTACAAATCAAAATGTATCAGTTATATTTCTGTAAAGATATTTATATTTTCTTACCAACATTTAAGCTGATTGTGTCGTTGGTTTGATGTCATCACAACCAAAGCTTTTAGCTTCTGTGTTTGAATAAAATGTAAAGAGAAAAACAGACAGTTTAGAATAAATGATGAGACATTTTGAGTAAAAAGAAGAAACAGTTTAAGAATAATGAATATATTTAGTTTGGTCTAACAGAACCAAGATGTTTTTAAATTATTACAGTTAATAAATGTTTAATGAAGTTTTCCTGTTAATAAAGGATGTTTCTTAGTAAAACCTGAGTTAAAGAAGTTGAAACGCTCCTGCTGGGAACCAGTTGGTGGGACATGAACATTGTGTCTCAGCAGGACGGTTGTTGTCCTGATGACGGGACAGCCCGTCTCTGGGTCTTTGTGTCTCAGCCGGTCCAGCAGCAGGACTCCGTCCTCACAGCTGGAAACCAGCTCCTGTTTTCTGTGGGAAGAAGCAGTGGGAGGGTCTCTGACCCGACCCGTCCCCGAGGACACAGCTCCACATGTGAACAAACATGTGAACATGAAAATAAATCTGCAAACAGGAACTGGCTCGTCACTCATCCCGACCTCTGGTTCTTCTCACGACCCGACGTCTTTTTCTTTAAGTCTGCAGGAAAAATCAGCTCTTTAACCCTGACCCCCCCTGCAGAACCCCCCCTGCAGAAACTCACCTGCAGCTTGTTCCAGTCAGAACCAGTTTCTGAGGTCTTCTCTGCTGCAGATGAGCTTCTGATGAAGTGCTAATGAGTGTTGTGGGTCTGTGCTGCTTTCTGCAGCTCAGGTGGGTTTTTACATAACAGTTAAAACATTAACATGACCATCACTGCCAGCAGACCCCCGCCCCACCCCGTCTCTTGTCCTCCCTCAGATGTCCCGTYGTTTTGTCTCTTCCTCCCTCAGGTTCTGTCAGATTTAAACCTGAGGACAGTAGTTCTGTTTCCATCAAGGTTTTTAATCCTTATTTTAAAATATGACATCAGAAAAGACATGATTCAAAAAAACTTCCTCTAATTCACATAAAACTTGATCCACTGGTTTGAGGTGTTTTTTAAGAGTTAATGTGTAAAAGGAGAGATGGAAACACATTTACTGAATCAGTTCTGACGAACATTTACCTCTCATGTTGATCAGCTGTTCCTGCAGCTGTCAGAGTCTTCTCAGTTATTCCTGTAACATGAAGAGAATTACATTTCTTTATGTCTGCAGACAGCAGCAACATCACCACAACTAGTTCATATGACAGAATAACAACTTCCTGACAGCAGCAACACGTCCTGATAACTTCTGTCCATCGTCCTGAGATGTGACGTTTACTTCCTGTTTACTRCTTCCTGTTTATTCCTGTTTAMTACACACATGTGTCTGATGAAATGAGGTAATAATTGTGTAGCCTGGTTGATTCACTTCCAGCCAGTTGATGGAAACATGTAGTGATGAAGACTCCATGATGAAGCAGCACGTTGCTGTAGGACTGATAATAAACGTCTTCAGTTTGGGTTCTTTGTGAAAAGCCACGGGGTCAGAGGTCAGAGGTCAGATGTTGTTGGTTTGGGGTATTTGGGAGGACGATGTGAGGACAGAAACAGGTTCCACTGCAGGTTTACGGTGTTTGTGGGCGGAGCCGAACATTTGCTGCTTCAGCTGCACTCTCAGTGTTTTTATGAGCTGCGGTCGGTTTCCTGCAGCAGCTCCACCTTCCTTTGACTCCGTCAACGTCTCAGAAAGCAGGACGGATTAAGAACCAGGTTCTGGTTCATGGATGGAGGAGATGATCCAGACCTTCTGTTAGAACCAGGCAGTTTGTTTGGAGAACTTCAGCAGGATTAAATAATCCCACACCRGTCCTGTTTCATCACAGCCCACCGCTGATCCTTCGAGCAGGAAGAGAGYTTTTTAAACTCGATTCATCATTTCAGGTGGCTCCTGTTGGGGACGTCAGCTGGGACAAATTAACTCTGAGCAAATCCTGAATGAGGCTCATTTTTCACCTCAAATAAATGTCAAAACCACGAGGGTCTCTGCGCTTTAAGACCATCAGGAGTTTGACGTTCTGAGTGAGGAACATGTAGCTTTTATATCAGGATGATTTATAGGTTCAACCTGAGTTTCATGATGAAGGATCAGAACCAGGAGCTTTAACTGGTCCACTCCATCAGTAGGTTTCAGACTGAGTGTTGGTTTGATGAACATCTCCTGGTTTCAGTTCAGTTCTTTGTTTGCAGAAACTCTGATTCTGTAAAGAGTTGATCTGATGTCAGGAACAAACCTCTCCCACCAGTGTCTGAAGACATTTAGGGAATAAAACCTGAACCTGCAGTCCAGATCCTCCTACAGACCATGTGTGGAAGCAGAGTCCTGCTCAAATGAAGCCTAATAAAAGTCTTTGTTTCAGGAAGTCGTCAGGTCAGACAGAGTTTAACATTTACTGGAAACAAAACCTTTTTAACTTTAAGCCTTAATTGGTTGAGATGCAGACAGATCACATTTATACAACAGAAAAAATTCATAACAAAATACCTTCTGCTGACCAATCAGGGCAGAAAAGGACTGGACTGGTCCTTTAATCCTGGGTACAATAAAGGTTCTGTTCCATTCTTTAATCCTGGGTACAATAAAGGTTCTGTTCTATTCTTTAATCCTGGATACAATAAAGGTTCTGTTTTATTCTTTAATCCTGGGTACAATAAAGGTTCTGTTCTATTCTTTAATCCTGGGTACAATAAAGGTTCTGTTCTATTCTTTAATCCTGGATACAATAAAGGTTCTGTTTTATTCTTTAATCCTGGGACTTGTTCAAGTGTTTCCTTTAGATTTAATGTTTCTGGACTCTGACTGGGTTCTAAAATATTATCGTTAAAATGGAGAAAAACAGTGAGCTGTCTGACCTGATGACCGAGTCCCTCTGACCAGATGATTTAGTGTCTCTGACCTGTTGACCACGTCCCTCTGACCTGATAACTGAGTGTCTCTGACCTGTTGACCACGTCCCTCTGACCTGATAACTGAGTGTCTCTGACCTGTTGACCACGTCCCTCTGACCTGATAACTGAGTGTCTCTGACCTGATGATTTATTATGTCTGACCTGATGGTTTATCATCTCTGACCTGATGACCAAGTCCCTCTGACCTGATGATTTATAATGTCTGACCTGTTGGTTTAGTGTCTCTGACTCATTGACCGAGTCCCTCTGACCTGATAGTTTAGTGTCTCTGACCGTTGACCGAGTCCCTCTGACCTGATGATTCATTATGTTTGACCTGATGGTTTATTATCTCTGACATGATGAACAAGTCCCTCTGACCTGATAACTGAGTGTCTCTGACCTGTTGACCGCGTCCCTCTGACCTGTTGACCACGTGTCTCTGACCTGATGACCGAGTCCCTCTGACCTGATGGTTTAATGTCTGTGACTCTTTGACCGAGTCCCTCTGACCTGATGGTTTAATGTCTGTGACTCTTTGACCGAGTCCCTCTGACCTGATGGTTTAATGTCTCTGACTTGTTGATTGAGTGTCTGTGACTCGTTGACCGAGTCCCTCTGACCTGATGGTTTAGTGTCTCTGACTCGTTGACCGAGTCCCTCTGACCTGATGGTTTAGTGTCTCTGACTTGTTGATTGAGTGTCTGACTCGTTGACCGAGTCCCTCTGACCTGATGTGTCTTCTTGTTTCAGAGCGGTGTTGTCTGGCAGAAACATGGCGATGATGAGGTGGGATGTCCTGGTGGTCCTGGTCTTTGTCCTGGTGGTCCGGTGCGGTACTGCACCCACTGACATCTTGTACCGTGTTCCAGAGGAGCAGCCTCCCAACACGCTGATCGGCAGCCTGGCAGCGGACCAGGGCCTKCCGGACTCGGGACACCTGTACAAGCTGGAGATCGGCGCTCCGTACCTGAGAGTGGACGGGAAGACCGGAGACATCTACACCACGGAGATCCCCATCGACCGGGAGACGCTCAGGGACTGTCGGAACCTGTTTGAAGACGATAAGTGCTTCCTGGAGTTCGAGGTGTCCATCACCGACATGGTGAAAGGGATCGGGTCGGGGCCACGGCTCATCGAGGGTCTCATCGAGGTTCTGGACATCAATGACAACACGCCCCAGTTCTCCTCGCCCATCCTGTCCCTGGCCATCCCTGAGAACACGCACATCGGCGCCCTCTTCTCCATCTCCATGGCCACCGACAGGGACTCTGGACCCAACGGCGTGGCCGAGTACTCCCTGAGCGCCGGACCCGACGCCGACCAGCTCTTCGGCCTGCAGCTGGCCCTGGACCAGGACGAGAAGCAGCCGCAGCTGGTGGTCAAGGGTAACCTGGACCGGGAGAGGAAGGACTCGTACGACCTGAACATTAAAGTGGTGGACGGAGGGAAGCCCCCCAGGGCGAGCAGCGCTCTGCTGCGGGTCACCGTGACGGACCAGAATGACAACCCGCCCAAGTTTGAGAGGGGTCACTACGAGGCAGAGCTACCAGAGAACAGTCCTCTGGGACACTCGGTGCTGCAGGTCAGTGCTCCAACAGGTCATCAACAGGTCGTCACATTCAGACATGTTCATCAGCTTTTACCCAGAGTAGGCTTTATTACTGGATCAGAACCAGTCCTTCACAACACAGTTATAGTTCACTAAAACTAACAAATAACAAATACTGAAACTGAAAAAACATCTTAGTTACTGAAACAAAAACTGTAATAAAATGAAAAAACAACTAAAACTGAATTTATAGATAGAATATCCTTAGTTTTAGTGTTTGTGAATTTATTTTATCTATTTTTTAAATCAAGTAGTTTCATGTTAGCTGTAACAACACTGCTGCTGCTCAGCATCACCTGCTGAATGATGACAGGAAGTTGGGAGAAAACAACAACAACAACAACAACGTCCACTTTGTGATAAATCTGACAGAGAAAAATCAAACCAAGTGTTTTGTAGTGGAAACAGGTGATAAAACAGGTGGAAAACTTCTGAAGAGAAAAACTGCATGAATCAAAGTCACACAAGATGCTAACTGTGACTATCTGACACGTTAGCTTCTCTCAGCAGCTCCATGAAAAACAAACAACAGGTTGGAGACAGGAGACAACTATTGTCATCGTCCTAAAATAATCACCAAGTTTTTAGCTGATAAAACTGAGTTACATAATTATTTTAGGAAGGTGTCGCTATAATGAACTGATTTAACTAGAGATTAACTAGTTAAACTTTAACTCACAGGAACATCACAAGCTGGAGGATACATTGATAAATATGTTTATTCAAACTATAAAAAAACTAATTGTAGAACCAATAAAAACTAAACTAAAACTAAGCATTAAAAACACAATAATAACTAATAAAAACATGAAATCTATTGTAAAACTGATTCAAACTGAATTAAAAGAAAAAGTCAACAAAATAAAACTAAACTCTGAAGAGGTTTGAAGAGCTGACCGTCAGTCAGGTCCAGCTGTGACCCGCTCCACATCCTCCCTGTTCATGGATGTAAATATTGTAGAGGGGTTAGTGGATCAGGTTCTGCAGGTCCGGTCCTGTGAGACGAGATCAGAACCACTGGACAGAACGATGAATCAGTTTCTGAGGTTCAGATGATTATTTCTGCCTCGACCACTGACCTTCAGCTGAGACAGGCGGTTCTGCTGGACTCAGAATATTCAGCAGGTTCTGTTTTATTCTCTGTATTGATTAGAGTAAATGGTGTCGGTTCTGTAGACGGTTTCTGTTCGGGTCAAGCGGTGAGCCTTGTTAAGCTGCAGAGCAGCACGGCGCTCTGACTGCAGTCATCTGCTGCTCAGTGAACCGTACCGACACACGGTGCTGCCCGGGTGAAGCGGGTCGTGTCGGCATGAATTAACCACGGGTCCGGTCTCGGCGCCGGTGCCTGWTGCTGGCATCAGCAAGGAGAACAGGAAGGAGTTCAGTTCCTCCTCCCTGCTTCCTGTGCGTGCAGCGCCACCTGATCTGAGGCGCTGCTGAGATTATCCTGCTGTTATTGGTTTGTTCTGGATGTGTCCGGGTGTGTCCACAGAACCTCAGAACTGGTTCCACTCAGTGTGTCGGGTCAGTGCTCCCAGTACATCAGCTGCTTTCACTTCCTTTTCTAAAGGATCAATGGGCCTCATGCAAGAACATGTT